AATTTATGACAGTAAAGTCTGAGCAAGAGTCAGAAAATTTTGACATACGACATTAAAAAATACAATTTGTCTTTAAATCAATGACAGACACTTACTGTCATGGATCCAGTAATTGTGTATACTATCTTGTTCTCTTTAGTGCGAATCTTATAAAATCAAATTTGCAACGTAGCTACTTTCTGAGCGGCGTTACTGGCGCTTAAGTTTCTTTTAGTGTTGCTTATAAGATCTCGGGCGCCACCTCTAGTTAATAAGTGGTTAGAGGCCCACTAGTGCCGGTTCGGGTAGTTTTTAGACAGTGGAGAGGTATAGCAGTGTTACAGTTCTTTTAGCTCAGAGGTGGGGAAAATAAATTAAACATAATCTACAGTTATAGAATAAAGAGCAGGTCGTGTTTTCCCAAAACTATTTATAAATTCAAATTTTATTTTAAATGCAAAATTAGGTCATTCTTCTTCCGGTGAAAGGCATGGTGATGTGTAGGTGGCTAGTTGGGCTACACAGCGCTCAAATTGGCTCCGATGCGTGGAGTCTCTTCACCGGCTTGGGGCAAATCTACATAGAAAAGAATATTAATAAAAGCTACGGACTGTTAGGGGAAGGACAGCACTCCCAAGTAAAAAAAAACAATTTATTCTTAAAAAAATTAATTAATGTTAGAATTTGTTATAAATTCAGAGAGAGAAAAGAAGCCAAAATACTTGAGAGTGTTAGTGAAAGGAATTTGAAATATTCTATCAAATGGTTTAATCAAACTATTAAAATAAATATGGGTGTGCCAATAAGAAAATGTTTTAATAATTGTCTAATTAAATTAAAAGTACTGCGGAGCTAATAAGAAAATATGCTGATAATTATCTATTTAAATTCAAACTACTAAAAGGAAAATTATTAATTTAAATTAAAAGTACGGCGGGGCTAATAAGATAATATTCTAATAATTATTTATTTAAATATTAAAAGCATGGCGGGGATAATAAGAAAAAAATTATTAAAAAATAAAACATATAAAAAAATACACTAAAAATTATTTATTAGTACGGCGCACAGTGGGCCAGCGTAGCCTTATTTTATTGAAAAATTATTGTTCGCGTAGAAATTGGTCTTGAACGTGATACAAAAGCTAATATTGATTAAAATGTGAAAAATATCTAAATTGGACAAGTAGAAACATAATTATATAGGGTATAGTAGGAACTGAATATAATACCGGGTGTACCTCAAACGTGGCTGCCCCTATAACATTTTTGTTTTTGACGTAAACAAATAATATTTGGGGAGCGTATATAAGAGAAAAATCGGGATTTTTCTGCGTGTTCAATTGTTTTACATCACTTCCGGTTTGACCGGAAGTGACCCTAACTTTCGTTTTTTAAATGGCACACCCAAACTTTCTTTACCAGTTTGATAAAAAATTACATTTTTAGTACAATAATATGTCAACTGGTACTTTTTGACATATTTTTATTTTAGTTTATTTTAATTTTCGATCTAATACTATGTATTAATGTCAAAGTCATTTGCCAAAACTTTAAGACTATTACTTTTCTAAATGTAAAAATGCCATTCTTTAAGAAACACCAACCATTTTTGTGAAACAATATTGAATTTAATAACAAATTTAAAGTAAACAAAATAAACTTTTTTATAAAGTAACAAACACAACAAATATAATAAATACCTACAGGAACAAAAAGTATAACAATAATTATTTCGAATCTTACAAAACTACTAAGCTAATCCGAATCATCATCGCTGCTGTGGTTAGAAGAAGTAGTTTTAAATGACTTGAACATATTAAGTGCTTCTGGGCAAAATATTTTCTTTTTTGGTGTACTATGCTTTCTTAGTGAAGTAATTTTTGGATCGGAAGTAACAAGCAAATAATTAAAAACATCTCTATTTGTTGATACTCTATTGCATTTTCGAGAGTTTTGTTCTCTAGCCCTTCTGTACTCTTTATTTCTGGCCTCTTGGGCTTCCTCTGACAGTTGCCCAATAGGCACAGGAACAGACTTGATTATTTCTGCACTGTGAATAAAAATTTTATGTAGTGAAGCAGGAATTCTATACCATGGATATAGATGCAGAAAAAGTCTTCCTGTAGCAATGCAGTAATATTTAAATTCTCTAATTTTAATATCAAAGCCACTAGCAATGACTTGCAAAATCACATAAATGCGATATATTAGATTTTCGTCAATATTGGTTATTTCAGCGGACACTTTATAGTTTTGAAAAAATGTCCTGGCTGTGTTGCCATCATTAGTCGTCCCTGCTCCCTGTTTTGTTTGATCCACAATAATCCCCAAACGAGATCGAAAGGCTGCTTGGATCCTATTTTTTTCTTGCTTAATGACATTTTTATCATCACCTCGTGCTTGCCACTTTTGTATCTGTAATCGATAACTGATTTTCAAAATACATTCGAATGATCGAATCCATGCATGTAGGGATGTAATTCCGAAGGAAAGATGGTTCTTATCTACAGTTCTTTTCAGAACTGCATCAATATCGTTCATCTCAATGGGTGAAGCACCGCACAAATAACACTTTTGGGATGATGTACCTGTTATTGAGTTAATCATTTTATTATCTACCATTGACATGTATAGTTCATGTTTTACCAAAATAACCGAATTATTTTTTAATCTAAAATTAGTCGGTGATAAATTTAAAATTTCTTGGTCCATATGACTTTTCTCCTTTTTTGAAATTTCGATAGTTTCTTTCAAAAACTGCATTTTTAGAGGTCGGCAATAAACCGTAGATGCAGGGTGGGGGTTCTGCCAGACATAAATTTTTGCGCTTTGACCGTTTGTGGTATTTAACTGTAAAGGAACCAGACATGTAAGCAGCAAATTACTGTCACTATAATTGCCTTCAAATGCTTGTTTATATTCGTTTTGTCCACTACTTCCGTCCATTCCCCACTTAGTAATTAAAGTAAAATTTAAGTTTTCAAAATGTTGGTTTTCTAGATCCAAAGTCGACAAAAGCCTACAAGTTGTATGATCTAGTAGCGATTGTAAAGGTAACACCACAGAATGTTCCTGCGCAGAAATATTCTCCGGATAACATAACTGCTTTGCCTCTCTTATTTTGTTGTAACTGGGGTAGATGTCGAAATTGTTTTCTTTAGCGTTATTTCTTAGAAGTTGGTATGATCGCTTAGTAAGTTTAGCGTCAAGAAATAACGCTAAAGCTTGATCTGAACTTAATGGAGATTGTGCGTTTTTGGAAGTAGTTTGATTATTTTTTTTTATTTCTTGGTTCGGAGATAAAACAGTACGAGATCGAGATAATAATTTAGCAGCTTCTGGTCTTCCATCAGACCTTAATCTTAATTCAGTAGCAAAAATCAGCTCGCTTGTTTCCGTTTTTCGTAACTGTTCCGTTCTTCGGAATTTTCCAGAGTAACTGAGATTTTGAAACTCAGATTTGGGTCTTCCAGTAGTTTTTGTTTTAACACAAGCAAAATTTATGACCCTGTCAAGCCATGTTTTGTTCCAGTCTAAAAATCTACTCTTGGTCCTTTTTGCAGCCAGCCATTTCCTTCGAAAATCAAGGGAATAAAGACGAGAATATTGCATTACTCTTGCCTTGTTTTGCTTCATGCACTTCATACATAAAATAGAGTTTAATGTCTCTTTGATTTTGATCCTCTCTATGCCTTTTTCAAATATTTGTCTTAACTGAATCGTATGGGATTCAAGTTCTAAAAATGCAAAAACCCATCAGAACTATTAGAACTCCATCAAAATTATATATTAAGAACAGCGTTTATTTGGTAAAGAAATAAAAAAATAAGGTCAATTTTTTTTCGATTTGCCACATTTTTTTCATGTCTACATTCTTCCCAACTTTCTTTTTTTCAAATGTAAACGTATGTTTTGTGGTAGCTCGTTGGAAAGGGCACAAAAAAAGGAATATGACCCACTATTTACTTTTGTATTTTATTAAACTCGTAAAAAAAATATTATTTATTGCAAAAAATTGTTGAAAATGTTCACTATTTTTTTCCTGACAGAACCTTAATCTAAAATGAAACTCATTTCCGACATTCTGTATTATTTCTGGGATTATTTGTCTATTTTCTTGTGTTATCTTCCAAATTTTCAGATTTCGTTACGTAAATTTTAGATTTCGGCTACCACAAGGCATTTACATTAAAAAGAAAAAGTTGGGGGTTGTTTTTACCCCCAAATGGGGGGTGAGTGTCATTTGGACATGAAAAAAATGTGGCAAATTGAAAAAAAATTGACCCGTATTTTTTTTAATTTCTTACGAGATGAATAGTATTTTGTAATACAGAATTTATTCCAGTTAAAAGTTCCACCCTGTATAATAAATGTAGGCTTTCACGGCATTATTATTATTATTTTAGATAATAATAACCCGAAAAAACGACTCACAATACTATAAAAATAAGCGTATTGACCTTTTCGTAACAAATGCATAGCAAATAAAAACGCTCATTTTTCAATGGGGGGCACTTTGGGGCAGAATTTTTTTTTATCAAAATAAAATATAGTTGTTATATATTCCAAAAATATAAGTTTCAAAAATATGATATTTCCTCATTTTAAAAAAAGTCTGTGGCAAATTTGAACTTTTCGATTTGAGGCATATTTTTACCAATTCAGGAGTCTTCCTTTAAAGTGCCTTTTGTTGTAAGATTTACTAACAAAATAAAATATGTTAAAGCAGACTACACTTACCTCTTTCACCTACATCCATCACAAAAATTTGATTGCTTATAATTTCCCACAGAAAAAATATCGAAATTGAAACTTTTTAAAGACAAACTTTTTTTCAAATGCGAAAGGCAAACCTGTCGTAAAATGACGCGTTATTTGACGTCTCCATGACGATCAATCGAAATAATTATTTTGTTTTTTTATGGATCAAAGTCTACTAAGTTTATGCAAGTGTTAAGTTATCAGATATGTTAATAAAAATATTTTGGACTTATTCAATATTAAAGGGTATTTCTGGCCCTCTGTGCGGCGGGGCTAAGGTCTAAATAATATTTAGACCTTAGCATATTATGACAGCAGAAAGAAGTAAAATAAAAATTGAATTAAGTCTAAAATGAACTGCGGAAAACTATAAGAGTTCAGCAAATGTATTTATAGCAAAGGGATCGGTGTGTAAGAAACCTGCCTCACAACTTCCCCACGTTTCCTAATCCTCACAGAGATACACCGCTCAATTATTACGAGAACTGACAGAACTGTTTACTGCGGACTGTTTTCGGAAAAAGAGTCGGACCAAGGATGGTCTATCTAGGCAATCAATAAAGAACCTGGAGTTTAAAGCAACCTGCCGTGATATATCGCCTCACAATTTACTTATTTTACCAAGTCTCCATTAACAGCCCATATATGTTTTTAGTGATTAATAAAGAAATGTCTAAAACCCGGCCTAATGATTTATTCATTAAATTACCAATAAGGAATTTAGAGTTCGAAGCAAACTGCCGTGATATATCGCCTCACAGCTTACCTACTTTTCCAAGTACCTATTTATAACTCAATCGTATTTTATTTTATGGATTTGTTATTGATATTTAAAATATATTTTTTTATTGGTATTTACTCGAAAATATTTAGACCTTGCCACGGTACGGGATTCCTTTCTGAAAAGAGAAGAAAAATAAAATAAATAAAAACCAAATAAACAATAAATTCTCGATACTCAATACTATACCATATCAATCCTTAATGTTACCGTGCAGGCGGCTTCGGGATGACGGCGGACTAAAGACGGCGGAGGACGGCGGGCTTTCCAACTGATTGGCTTCTGCTGCTGGTGCTGGGACTGCTGAGGCTGCTGGTGGTGGTGGTGGTGGTGCAGGAACTCCGGTGACTTCTTCTCAGTTGCTGGCTGGGTCAGGAACTGCCTTCCCTCGGCTTGCGTGTTGCTCCTTATTCCCAGTCCTTCCCTCCAGTTGAAAACCGTCGTGGTGACAGCGTGCGCCATGACGTTAATAAAAAGTCCCCAACGGTGGAGCTTGTCTATTGGGGTATGTTTTGGCGGAATATAATTGCCCCCCTCATCGGTAGGGAGCCCACCCATGGCTCCGTCGAGCTTGATGTAATCGGCATGGGAGTTGTCGTGGAGATAGGGCAAAAGCAAGGCCTCAACTCCTTATAAGTCAGTGCACTAAAAATGCGCTCAATGTTGTCAACATTAGAAGCACCGACAACAGGGCTAAAGCCGAAGGGCAAGCTAGAATGGTATTTCTCGCCTATATCCCGCCACATGAGCGCCTCAGAAGAGTAATAAAAGTCTTCCTCAGCCTGCCACAAAACGTGGCGGGCGGAGGAAACGAGACGTATGTTCTTGCCTCCTTTTCGATCAACAGAGACTCCATAACGATCACGGAAATAGGCTTCACGGGTATATAAATTCATCCCCAAAAGTGCGCTCAAACCCCGGATATCTCTGGAGTTGACCTTATCGGAAACGAAGGGGTCCTGCAGTAGCTTTACGATGTGCGCAAGTTTTTTTCGCTGCAGTTGACTGAAAACTGAATTAGGCGTGCAGAGCCCTCTCCAAGAAATTTCCTGGCAAGAACTCGGAATCTTATATTTTGCTCACTCATGTCTATATTTGACACTATAAACTGCATTTGTGTGCTGCTATACCTAAATATTGCATCATCTGAAAGTTTCGTCTACTTTCAGATGATGCAAGATCTTCGTCGAAAAATTAAATTTTCGGTAATAACGAAGAGTCCCAAAAATGATTTAATTTCTTTTGGTGTTTTCGGAATAGGGTATTTTAATATTGCTGCTATCTTTTTTTGATTTGGTCTAATTCCCTTACATGTCCTAGAAACTCAACTTCTCTATGTAGAAATTCAGATTTTTCTATTTGCATTTTAAGAAGAGCATCTTTGGAAAACTTGTTTTAAATGTTTGAGATGATCTTCTAAGACTAACATACATATAATATACATAAACAATAGACGCTTTCGTTTGGCAATTGTAACTTTTGTTAGGACATGCAGCATAGTATTTATTACGTTTCTGATTTAATAACTTAATATTGAAAAATTTGGCACTTACCCCTTTTGTATTTCCACTCTTCAATTATATCGTCCATGTATATAAGACAATTTTTTTCGATTAATTCTCATAATACGTTATCCATCACTCTTTGAAAAGTAGCGGGTGCATTTTTTATTGCAAATGGCATCCTAATAAAATCGGAGTGATCGTGGTCAACACTGAATGCTGTTTTTTCTACAGAATTTTTATTCATTTCAATTTGATGGAACCCTGAAGATAAGTCTATTGTAAAAAAGTAGGTACAACTTCCTGGTTTATCAAGTAGGTATTTCTAGCCAAAAAAAATTCTAACCAATATCTTCTAGCCATTTTAGTTGTGGTATCAAAATTGTGCGGAATCTTATTTGCTCCAGCGAGATCATAAGCCAAGGACCGTAAGTGTTAACCCAAAAAAGCGTGATTTCATGTTTTTGACATAGTCAACTCCTTTTCTTGCTTCTTGCTAAATATAGTTTCAAATTCACCCATTTTCGGAATATGATAATGATATACAGAAATATGATAATGACCACCTGCCATTTGCCTGTATTTACCAAATCTATCTTCAAGAGGGTCTGTTTGAGATTTTGGCTCATCAAAACAGTATTTGGTAATTTCAAGCAGTCCGTGAAGGGTATGACTTAAAGCAGTTCGAGTCTGTCGGGTAAGAGTCCTTGAAAAATTGCTAGGTTGCCAAGTATCGAGCCAACTTAACATTTTTTCTAAGAACTCAATCTTAGGATCCTCGTTAGGATCTAACTCAATATCCGTCAGTTTTTTCTTTACGATGGGTTCCTGAAATATGTCACGTTTATGTTTGCCTTTGAATGGAGTTTTTACATTTACAATCTTCCACCATATTGTTATGATGTTTACAAAATCAGCAGAGTATCTTGAGAGTGTGGTATACGGCTACCAAAATGTTTTTAAAAGCTTATCATATTCTAGTTCATGTAATTTTTTAATTGCAGAAAAAGAAGCGCATTTTTTTCCAAAGTGTCAAAATCAGGAAAATCAAACATTTGATCAGGTTTAGAGACACATTTTAATAAGTGAACTGTGTCAAATAAGTAAAATAATGGTCTTTGGTTATCTATTGGGTGAGGATAAACAATACTAAGTTGGTCCGTAGCTGAGAAATGGCTCATTGCTTTGCCATTAATAGCATTATTATCACTTATTGTGCAAAATACTACATACCCAATTTCCTCCAAATTTTCAATAATAGTTTTAATAAAATTATGGAGCATTTCAGAATTAATTTTTGAGACGGGAGCTATGTGAACTACCTCTTTAAAACTAGAACACACACTTGTTATCATGAAGGTAAATGCCGATGAAGCTAGCGAGTTATTATTATTGACTGCTGTACCAGCTATATTGCCTCCCTTATAATCCATAAAAGGGTCAATGTGAATTTCATCGAAAAGCAGTTTCACAAATCTCTCATGATCTTTTAGCATGCCAAACACATTTCGAGCATAAGTTAAAAACATATTTTTTTCATCCATATGGGGATCAGTCATATGTTTATTACAAATACCCTTTATAGTTTGGGGATGTGGTAAAATAAGGGACCCATAATCCCTTATATATTTATATGCATGTGGACTGATAGTATAGAGAATAGAACATAAAATTGTTGTACTACTTGAATACCTATATCTTTCTTTTGCAGTTGTAAGCAGAGTTAATTGTTCACAAATAAAATCTAAAGCATGTACTATTTTGTTGTCAAGATTTTGGAAACTTTTTAGTACATTTGACACAAAATCGAACACGCGTTCCATTTTATTTATGTCATTTGCGGGTTTGGCAGAATCAGGCATTGTATTGCTCTCGATATTGCTATTAAGGTCACAGTCGGGGTTGTCATTATCGGTAATATTTTCCCTCGTATTTTCCTCTAAAGGTAGAGTAATAACGGTTTCATCTATGGCTTCAAATATTGACTATATATCATCCAAACTATGTGAAACAAACGGCGTTTTAAATTTTGTTGTCGAAATACAAACTGACGCGCTATATAAAAAAGTTTCAATATTCAGGTTATAATTAAACAATTGCCCAACTAATGCATGGGCCGGGTGAATATTCGATCTTAAAAATAGTTAATCTCTCGCCTTCTTTAGACAAATTGTGGTCAGAAGACCAACCTTTTGGCAGTTTAAATGTAGCAAATTTGACAATAAACTCCTCAAAATTGTTAAAATGTTCAACTTCATAAATTGTATCTTTATCAAATTCATCTTTTTGTCTATCTTTAGATTGGGATCTATTAGAAGAACATGGATAATAATAATAATTATAACTAATATTAGAAGAACAAAAAATAATCTGGCTTATCATCAATAATTACTGTTGTATTAGAATCTGTGAATAATTGGGATTCTTTGACAATATATGTTCCAAAACCTTTTTTATTTAAATCTGCAACTGTATTCTTTAACTTGTTCATAATATAGAAAGACTGATTAATGATTTATTTCTATTAAGGAAACCGAATTAATTCTTTGAGTTGATTTCTCAAGATTTGAATTCGCTTACCAAAATCTAAAATATTTTTGTTTTTATTTGGTGATGCTATCAACAAATCTTGCTCTAAGCATTCCAAATTTCTTTTATCTCCAAAAGAATTATTATTATATAAGCACCTATTAATTCTCTCCATGTCTCTAGTTCGAGTCTATTTCCAACAAAAATGTGAGCTTGGTATTAATTTTATTCTCCTTATCCGTGTTATGTAACCTGCGATTTCATCGTTACCGTTACTATTGTAGCGTTTTTTTATAAAACATTACCACTGCTAACGGCAGCTTTTCATCAGAGAGCAGTCGTGGATAAGGTATTTCACTAGAACGAAAACTAATCAATAACAATAAACAAAAAAATATAGATGTTGTATATTACTTAAAACTAAAGACTATATTTATTCATGATGTTCTGTGATGGTAAATGACATTGTAGAATTCTAGTAAATATAGTGGTTGTATGTCGAAGAAAGTGGTGTTAAGAATTGTACTAAATATCTATGAAAACGACTATGATAAAATACAAGACATGTAAAGTTATAGAAAATATATGAAAGGTAGCATTACTTTAATTAATTTGATATATTTTATATGATGTTAAATCGAAGATGTTGCAACCCGTAGATTCTAGAATCTATGTTTGGTTATTCATCTGTTAAAATAGTGCAATAATAATATCTGAAAGTAATACTATTACAAGAAGTAATGTAATGAAACCTAAGACCTAAATCATATTTTAAATACTAAATTAACATGAATGTTCTTAACGATCTAACCACTAAACATAGTCCGTACGATATTATTTAATATGTATGTTATTCTTTAAGAGTGAAAATGTGTTAAATGTTGAATGTAAACTAGAACTTAAATCTAAACTTAGCTGTTTGTTCTTAAAGCAATCCTGTTTCACAGAGTAGCAGCGTGAGGTGGGCTCGCATCTCTGTACTCGGCTATCCAATACAACCAAAGGAGCCAGAATGAGGACACCATGAATTAATACAGCCGTACCTACTGACTAGGCTTATAGGTGGGAACGAAGCAGCATGGGATCAAGCTACATCCATGCTGGGTCACTTTATATATAAGATAAATCATTCCTACTTGAGACACTCATCCACAGAACATCCGTACATAGGGCATCCAACCATAGTACAATGTCGTAACTTGGACATCCGTCCATAAGATAACGGTACAGGGGAACACTACCCGTACCTTGGATCCTAAAAATATGAAACTCTTGTTTAAAATCAAACAAGGTTTAATAAACAAAACGAACCTACCTCGGATTATTTGCGAGGGCTCAATAATAAACAAAGTACCTGTCCTTTCTTCCATGTAACATTCTGGAGGACAAAAGAGAAGGAACCCCAACGAGCCAGCAAAATATAAATACAAGTTAGGTTGGGACATCCGTAACTCTACCCTAAAAATACGCAGTAATAATAACGAATCAAAAAAGATAATATCTCATTTTTACCTGTAGCTTCGAAATAGCAGCTGATTCAAATTATACAGCAAGATTTAAATAAATGCAGTTTCTCTAAGCAAGTCTTTGAAGATAAATCATTCCTACTTGGGACACTCGTCCACAGGACATCCGTACATAGGGCATCCAACCATAGGACAATGTCGTAACTTGGACATCCGTCCATAAGATAACGGTACAAGGGAACACTACCCGTACCTTGGAACACTACTGGGACCTTGGATAATGCCCGTACCTTGGACCATAACCTTGGACCCTAAAAACATGAAATTGGTGTTTAAAACCTGCCCAGGTATAATAAACACAATAAACCTACCTCGAAATACTTTCGAAGGCTCAATAATAAACAAAGAAACTGTCCTTTCTTCCATGTAACATTCTGGGGGACTGGGGGACAAAACGAAAGAACGCCGTGTCAGCAAAATACAAATACGAGTTAAGGTGGGCCAATCCAAAACTCTACCCTAAAAATATCCAATAATAATAACGAATCTAATAAAGATAATATCTCATCTTTACCTGTAGCTTCGAAGTAGCAGCCGATTCAAATTATACAGCAAGATTTAAATAATTGCAATTTCTCTCAGTCAGGACTATTGAGATGGCCGACGGCCAACCTCAAAGTGAAGTTAAGCGCGGATAGGCGCATTGAAGCGATGTTGACAGCGCCTCCACAGAGCAGTGAAACGATAACAGGGTTGCTGAGTAGAGAACGTAAAAATTACGCCAGGCGCGTCAAGTAAATTATCCGGCCTGAACGATAGGGAATCCGGTGATGATACGCCAAACATCATATATCATATACAAAGACATGTAACGAACTAAAAACGTTACACTATATTTTAAGAATAGATAGTCCATAGCAGAGATAAAATTTAATAAATTTACAGTGTTTCCGTCATAAGGTGGGATAGTATCTACGTATATTCGTTGTAGTTGTTGGTGTCGTCATGTTGGATAATGTTATAATAATAATATCTTTGGTTATAAAAATAAAAATATGAAACGTGAGAAAATTAAATTAAAATATTTATTTTTAAAAATTTATATTATTCAATTATTAAAAATTAAAACATTAAAAGTAAAATAATATATGAACTTTTTAAAGTTCGTTGCTAAACGTTTGAGTTTAATAAACTAAACGTTTGAGTCTACTTATACACGATTAAATTACTAACTAAATAAAATTAATGATTTAAAATGAAATGCTGATCTAGAACGAAAAAGCTATGTTTAATAAAAGAAAAATAAAAATTTTCTTAATACTAATATGTTTAATATTTAACGTTTTTAATTCGATTTTTAGTACAAGAATTTACGCTTTCAAATAATAATATTCGATTTAAATATTTTTTACTTTACTTAATTCTAAAAATGCGAATTATTTATCGATACTTAATGGTAATTTTCGATTTTTAATATTACAATTTGCGATTTTTAATATTAAATTCCGATTTCCTAATCCTAAAATTCGATTTCTAATTATTCTACTTTTTTCGATTTTTTTATTTCTAAATCTACTTTTTGATTTCTAATTCTTTTTCTTTCTTACTTATTTTCGATTTATTTCGTTTCGTTTCGTTTTTTCTTAAATCTAAACTTAACTAAATATTCTATATCTGATTTCCAGTCAAATAATAAAATATTTTTCCAATCTCCTAAACAGAGAAATTAGGAAAAGGGGAAGGTTCTTGGTACACTCACAAAAGGTATGTACATCGTTTCTTAAAATATAATTAATATAATATGATTTCCCTTTGTAGCAACCAAACAGCTAACAAAATGCAATGAATATTTCCACTTGAACAGAAGTAAACAAAATACCAAAAGTGAGTATATAAAGTGGTTATTATTAATATTATTTTAATTAACGTTCCTTTAGATAAATAAGAAGTCATTATACGATGCATTTACCCTTCCATAACCTGAAGAATAATACCTCAAGATCGAATCAAAGATATTATTTACAAAATATTACATTTGGCTAAAAATAACAACCGGCCAAACCAAACCAAACATGAAATTAAATTATGATTTAAAGTTAACGCACATTTACTTTACTTGTAAATAGAAAATAAATAAATAATTAATATGTATTAAGAAATGTATTGTTATATTTTATTAACGTGTCATCTTCAAGGTTATAAATAAAAATAATAAAGCACCACATTCACTATTTTGTCAAGATGTATGATTAAAATCAATATAAGAAAATTATCTCCCCTTTAAAATATATAACCGTAACAAAGTGTTTTCAGTAAATCGAAACTAGAAAAATAATTGTTAAAATATACAATATGGTCGGAGGGAACTTCGACGCATTGAAGCAAACCTAACACAACTTTGGAGCCCAGTGGTAAACTTAAATCTATATTGTCATCCGTTTGCTTAGCTCCCCAGTATGTATCATAATTATATCAGAACTTAGTAAAATATTACTGGCTTTCCCTTTATAAATTGTTTCCCAGAGTGGTGACCAAAGTATTTTACCATTGCTTTATCTATTGAAAGATTTTAGTGGAAAATCCCCACTGGCGAAAATTGATATTTAGCATATAACCCACAAAATTCTAAAAGTTACTGGTTTTCTGGAAGTATCCCTTGGAATTAAATAAGACAATAGAAAATTTCATCAATGACTTATATTCCATTAAGAAATTTGACAATTAATGCAATTGGCTATGACAGTCTTGTCAGTAACAAATAACTGGAATACGAATGTGTTTCTGCTTCGGTTGGTTGGGAGAAAGGCCTCACCCTCTTCGCTGCACTCATCCGCTGGTCGGTAGCGTCATTGTTCGGCTAACGTTGGAGAGCTTGTGAGACTCCACCAGTCTCAGTGCGTGAGCTACTTATGGGGAGGGTCAATTCTCGTATCTTCCTAGAAGATAACAGACAGTAGTATTCTACTCAACACAATTGATAAGTACCCAGTTTTGTGGTGGTGGTCTAAATTACCAATTGGACTGTCTGTTGGTTGCCAATCTAGGTACAATAAAAATAACTTAAGATTATACAACATGTATCGATAGTGATTGAAATAAACAATTCCAAATCTAAATCTAACTACTAATTATAATAAAAATTTAAAAAAAAACTAGGCAATGACAGTTTAGATAAAAATTGTTGAACAGTTATCCAAATTATTTTAAAAAAGTAAAGATAGAAAAAATATATATATAATATATACATGTGCTCTCTCTCTCTAAAAAATTCTCCAGACCACCACAATCACTTCGGTACGACTTGAAAAAAAATGGTTTGTTATAGTAAATTATATGATTTAATTTGTAGACACGTGTAAAAAGAATAAAAAATATATGAGATAAAAAAACTAGAAATATATGAAAATTTAAATTACAACAAAAGTTAATACTAAAAAGCGATACGATAAGATAAATAAAACAACTAGATAGAAAGATAAAGGTAAATAGAAAGATAGAGATAAGATACGAAAAACGATAAATGCGGCAATTCGACAGATAAAAAACTAAAAGAAAAGATATATGTCACTCCAGGAACAAAGATAATGCATTCGCCAAATAAGATAAAGATAAGATAAGATAAATTTGGCAGATACGAGATAGATACGTTCCCTAGAGTGACCCAAAAACAACAAAAAAAATCTATCTGTCGAATGGCCTGCCAATAGTCACCACCACTACAGGGTCCAGATAAAACAAGAGTTGCCTTCTGGCAAGCAAGGATTCGTTAAAGGTGACATAAGTCGTATAATAAAATTTTTATAAAAAATCCTCACTTACCAGAGTCCCTCCTGGTTCGTCTCTGAGAGTACTCCTGCAGTGCTGTTTCTATTCATGGCCCCTGGGACTGCTAAATCGAACACCTCTGCGGGTTCCTGTTCGACAGCTTGCGTCTCAGTACATAAAGAAGAAAGATAAAGATAATTAGTACTAAATAAAAGTTAAAGGTATGAGAAAAAATATAAAACTACTATACACGTGCTACTAAGATAAGAAGATAAAGAAATGACGATAAAAAAAAATTGAATTGTGAGATAAAAAGCATAAAATAGAAAAAGGAATTTAAAGTTACAAGATAATTAAATAATTAAATCAAATAACCACATTAGATAGAAAGAAATGTTTTAAAATAAAACTAATAGAGAAATTCCAAGTCGTACCTCGTGTCGGTGTCTGGAAAAAACGATAGAAGTTTATCCAAAGAAGATTGAGATGAGAGAGAGTGATTTTAGGCAAAACAGTTCCTTTTATAGAATTCTCCCATTCATTTAGACACGCGTTAAGTACCAAATGTCAATATAAAAATTCTATAATTAATAGTAAAAATAATATATACGATAAAATTTCTTACATACCTTCAAAAAAAATGTGTGTAACGATTGCATCTTAATTATACAACACTAAACAAAATATTAATAATAAACCTTCGTTTTCATTAAAAATAAACAAATTATAATCGATAACCGATAGGCAACCAGAAAATAAATAAAATATTTAAACAATTTAAACTAACAACCCTCGCTAGTGATGTGTACCACTATCGAGGTTCCGCAAAAAATCGATAATATATAAAAACGTATAAACGATATAAAAGAAAAAATGTAACGAAAATATTTTCGTTACAGTAGGTTCATTAGAGGGCGCAGTTTCTACATTTTATCGGAAGTATCAAGCTTAGTATTATCAGCCAAGTGTATGTACCTTTTTATTTCCTGAAATCTGTTTCTAGACATAGCGGAAGCTACCAAAGGAATCGAGACATCTTGGTCAACGCTCCAATACATGGGCTCACGAGGTAATCTGTGATAGCCAGAAAAAAGTAGAATTCCCAGAAAGATTTTTATGTCAGACTCGCTTACTGTAAAGATGTGATTATTTTTTTGTGAGGCATAAAGACTTGTTTGCTCAACGATCAGTTTTAGAAGCTTATCATCAAAAAAATTTTCAAAAGTTTGAACGGGGCTACTATCTTTAACATCTTCAATCATATTTTTCTGTCTTTCCTCGTAGCCCGTAGTGTTTCCATCCATACTTATATCTGTGTAAAATTTGGTCCACTTAGGCTCCTCCTTTTTGCTAGTGACTTTACGTTTTGAACCCCTACTTTTTTTGGGAAATAGCACAGATAGTGGCACATTGTCAGTAGTATAGCTAGCAGGATACTGGATCAATTTTTGCTCGATGGCATGTTTTCCATCAGCATCGATCTATGAGCCGAAGAAGTATTGACCTTGATTAATTTGAAGGTTATTTCTAAAGAAATAATGTTTGTGTGGGTAGTTCTTGTAAATTTACCGGAGGCTGTTGAAAAGGGCCTTAATGTAATTGTTGAGGGTTGGTGAGGGTAGGTTTTTAAGGGTAAGCAGGAGGGTACTGCAAATGCTGCTTTGCCAGATCTAAATTAGTAGATTTAGGGAGTTTGCATATATTCCATGTTATAAGAGTTACATAGGTTGGGGTGCTATAGACGAGAAATTTCCTTAAAATTTAGGAAAATGCCATGTTGTTGTTGTGTGTGTGTGATAACGGTCAAAAGGTTAAAGGTTATGAATAAGAATATTGCGTTGTTATTGCATGTGATGATGCATAATAGGTTAAAGGTTATCAATAAGAGTACTAATTTTATATTGTTTACTTTTATGCCTTGTTGTTGTTGTATGTGATAACGTTTAAAAGGTTAAAGATTATCAATAAAAATATTGCGTTGTTATTTTATGTGATGATGCATAATAGGTTAAAGGTTATCAATAAGAGTACTAATTTTATATGGTTTATTTAAAACTAAATGTTGTATTAACCAACCTAGTCCAGACTGGAGATATTAACAGAAAAACACACATAGACAAATCTTTTAAAACAGTTTATTTTTTACATATGCTAAATATTACAAACTGATCTATTTATAATCATAAATTATAAATGTCCAGGTATGTTACGTAAATGTGCAGCTTGACGATTATCAATGTCCCGTTTTACTGCAGTTTTCACATATTCAGATACATCAGATTTGTCGGTAAGCCTTTTTAAATCTGAGCCTGTTAATTTCCCAGGATTGTCAAATGCTGACAATAATCTACCACACTCGTAATTGAATGCTGGACATCTTTTAAATTCTCGCCATTTACGAATCTCGTCTGATACTTCTTGCGGAATACTTGTATTTACCATTCTTATTAATTTTTTTATTAATAAAATTTTTGACGCTCTCTATCTGTCTTAACTATTATGGATACTAAAGTAAAATAATATAATCTTTACATTTTATACCACGATTTGAGAAATTTTCTCTAGCATAAATGCTTCTATTTTTTTAATAGGCTTAATATACTTAATAAATATATTCATTACAATAATATTTATAGGCAAGTTATATAAAAAAAAACACTTAGAGCTAGGTTTTTATTATCGCCCTGTTGATCCAAAACCATTGGTGTTGTGTTCTGTATGGGTAAGTTCTTTTTCCTCAACCAATTCAGGATAGTGTATACGCTCACAAATTAATTGAGCTATACGATCTCCAACGTTTACTTGAAAGTCTTCATTCGAATGGTTGAAGAGTAGAACCATCACAATTCCCCTATAAACTTGATCGATAACACCAGCTAGAAGAAAATTAAAATGAATAGTTATTATATTAATAATTATAAAAATAAAATTCTACCTCCAACATTGATGCCGTTTTTTGAAGCTAATCCTGATCTAGGTGCTATTCTTCTGTATTTATGAGCGCCTTATCCCTTGCAGGTACAGTTATACTGTAGACACTCCTTAAATCAAATTCTGCAGCTCTAGGAGATCCTTTGGTAGGAGTAAAGGCTCCTGGAATTGCTTTTACATATTTCAAGCATTTTCTCTTTTCCATCATCAATATTTCATCATCATCATTTGACTATGTTTTCAAAAAATGAGAGGTTTTATAACAAATAAATAAAATCTAAAGATTTTCTAAACGTTTCCCCTTAGTTCCCAACCCCATGGTTTTGTATCTGTATACAAATAATTAATAATTCTTTTATCATCATTCGGAGATAGAGCTATTTTTCTTTGGGCTATAGTATACACTTGATGTTTTTTTGATTGAATTAAATGTTGTTCAGTTTCAAGAGTGGAATTATTAAAAAGACATTGATAAAAATTGTCAAAAGTTATAGCTTTAAGTGAAGATGACTTTATACCCTTAGCTTTTTTACTAACATTTAAATTTTCACAACTATGTGCTTGAGTTCTAAAAGTGTACAGTTTAGATCGTAAACCAATAAATTCAGTCATTATTTTCCCATTATTTTCATCTCTCATAAGGCCTAATATTTTTTTGTTTTTTTGTGATATATTATACACATTATTAGGAGGATAGTCTGATGTATCAAATTTATGAATGTCTTGCTGAATTGAGTTATAAATATCGTTCACAAAAAAATGGTAGATAAGAGAATCAGTATATAATAATTTTGCTTTTTCTCCAAATTTGTTTTGAATATAGTTATAACGAAAATCGTATATAAAAGTCTTAGATAAATCTAAAATGGAAAATCCTACATAAATTGGTTTATCAAATTTAACTTTTACACGTTTCATTTCGATTATTACCATGTCCTGATCAAAAATGGTACAACTATGAAAATTTGGTTGTGAAATATAGTATTTAGCACCATACCTTTCTGACCATTTCGTTACAAGTTTAATATCTTTATATTTACGAACATTCTCCATAGTCTTACCAAATACAGCATTGTTCATCAGTTTAAATTTTAAAACTCTATGAATTTTTGTTATTTTTAATCCTAAACTAACGGCTTGTTGTAAATTACGATAGTGAATGATATATTTTTCCTTATTATATAGAGTTGTAAGTAATTTAGGAATCTTTGAACCAGCAGGTATTCTCCTTTCCGGACATAATGGTAAATCTTTGTGATAATCAAAAAGTTCTTGAGGATAAGTAAGATCAACTTCAAAGATATAACCAATAGTAGTATAGCTAGCGGGATACTGGATCAATTTTTGCTCGATGGCATGTTTTCCATCAGCATCGATCCCTGAGCCGAAGAAGTATTGACCTTGATTAATTTGAAGGTTATTTCTAAAGAAATAATGTTTGTGTGGGTAGTTCTTGTAAATTTACCGGAGGCTGTTGAAAAGGGCCTTAATATAATTGTTAGGGGGGTGGGTGAGGGTAGGTTTTTAAGGGTAAGCAGGAGGGTACTGCAAATGCTGCTTTGCCAGATCTAAATAAGTAGATTTAGGGAGTTTGCATATATGCCATGTTATAAGAGTTACATAGGTTGGGGTGCTATAGACGAGAAATTTTCTTAAAATTTAGGAAAATGCAATGTTGTTGCTGTGTGTTTAAAAGGTTAGAGGTTATCACTAAGAATATTGCGTTGTTATTGCATGTGATGATGCATAATAGGTTAAAGGTTATCAATAAGAGTACTAATTTTATATTGTTTACTTTTATGCCTTGTTGTTGTTGTTGTATGTGATAACGTTTAAAAGGTCAAAGATTATCAATAAAAATATTGCGTTGTTATTTTATGTGATGATGCATAATAGGTTAAAGGTTATCAATAAGAGTACTAATTTTAGATGGTTTACTTAAAACTAAATGTTGTATTAACCAACCTAGTCTAGACTGGAGATATTAACAGAAAAACACACGTAGACAAATCTTTTAAAACAGTTTATTTTTTACATATGCTAAATATTACAAACTGATCTATTTATAATCATAAATTAAAAATGTCGAGGTATGTTACGTAAATGTGCAGCATGGCGATCATCAATGTCCCGTTTTACTGCAGTTTTCACATATTCAGGTACATCAGATTTGTCGGTAAGCCTTTTTAAATCAGCACCTGTTAATTTCCCAGGATTGTCAAATGCTGACAACAATCTACCACACTCGTAATTGAATGCAGGACATCTTTTAAATTCTCACCATTTACAAATCTCGTCTGATACTTCTTGCGGAAGATCTGTATTTACCATTCTTATTTTTTTATTAATAAAATTTTTCACGCTCTCTATCTGTCTTAACTATTATGGATACTAAAGTAAAATAATATAATCTTTACATTTTATACCACGATTTGAGAAAATTTCTCTAGCATAAATGCTTCTATTTTTTTAATAGGCTTAATATACTTAATAAATATATTCATTACAATAATATTTATAGGCAAGTTATATAAAAAAAAACACTTAGAGCTAGGTTTTTATTATCGCCCTGTTGATCCAAAACCATTGGTGTTGCGTTCTGTATGGGTAAGTTCTTTTTCCTCAACCAATTCAGGATAGTGTATACGCTCACAAATTAATTGAGCTATACGATCTCCAACGTTTACTTGAAAGTCTTCATTCGAATGGTTGAAGAGTAGAACCATCACAATTCCCCTATAATCTTGATCGATAACACCAGCTAGAAGAAAATTAAAATGAATAGTTATCATATTAATAATTATAAAAATAAAATTCTACCTCCAACATTGATGCCGTTTTTTGAAGCTAATCCTGATCTAGGTGCTATTCTTCCATAGCATCCTGAAGGCAGTTCAAATTTCAGACCTGTATTTATGAGCGCCTTATCCCTTGCAGGTACGGTTATACTGTAGACACTCCTTAAATCAAATCCTGCAGCTCTAGGAGATCCTTTGGTAGGAGTAAAGGCTCCTGGAATTGCTTTTACATATTTTAAACATTTTCTCTTTTCCATCATCATCATTTGACTATGTTTTCAAAAAATGAGAGGTTTTATAACAAATAAATAAAATCTAAAGATTTTCTAAATGCTTCCCCTTAGTTCCCAACCCCGTGGTTTTGAATCTGTATACAAATAATTAATAATTCTTTTATCATCATTCGGAGATAGAGCTATTTTTCTTTGGGCTATAGTATACACTTGATTTTTTTTTGATTGAGTTAAATGTTGTTCAGTTTCAAGAGTGGAATTATTAAAAAGACATTGATAAAAATCGTCAAAAGTTATAGCTTTAAGTGAAGATGACTTTATACCCTTAGCTTTTTTACTAACATTTAAATTTTCACAACTATGTGCTTGAGTTCTAAAAGTGTACAGTTTAGATCGTAAACCAATAAATTCAGTCATTATTTTCCCATTATTTTCATCTTTCATAAGACCTAATATTTTTTTGTGGTATATTATACACATTATTAGGAGGATAGTCCGCATCCCCATCATTTACAACCGTATACGATGAAGATGCTGACATGTACGAAAGCCAAAAATACACTATTGTACAAAATTAATATTTAGCATCCTATTTGTTGTCCGTATTGTTGTTTTATATATGTCATATTGTATAAAAATATTTAAATATTTATGTATATAGTATCTTATGGTTTTTAGTTTGTAGTAAAGGGATTGTATGAGTATATAGTTAATAAAAGATAGTATTACAATTTTAAGTGTTTTATTAAGCATGTATTTTGTATAAAATATTATTATTTTAACTAAATTATTATTAATAAAACTATTATTATTATATTAACTAAATATTTAAAATATATTATTTTAAATATTTAGTAAAAATTTTTGATTATTACAATAAGTATACCAATAATATAAGAAATACATTTTCAACTGCACAATATAAACTACTATCTAAATGTTTTAAACAATGATAAGATTTGAATATATTTTTTAATCGATCAAATGCTGGACATCTTTCTATATATAAATCAATTATTTCATTATCTAAAAACTTTTCTAACCATTGCTTCTTTTCTGCCCCATTAACAGCAACAATTTCTGAACACACGTGTTTTTTAATGAAACTCGAAATATCTTCATACGGTAAACATTTTTCTTCTCCATACAAAACATCAAATTCTAAACCATGAACATTGCAAGTTATCCATTCCATATGATCTCTAACTTTTGAATTGTACTGTTTCAATTCAAATGGATAACTTATAAATTTATGTGCAGCCAAATGTCCATTGTCGTTAACGTTGACTATTGCCAATTCTTTACAAATAAAATTTCCCGATCCATACTGAAAGCCTTGTACATCAATAATAAACATTTTCAATAGCTATGCAGATATGTCTATTTGCTTCGACTGACTACGAGTGACTGAATATTTTAATTATTGGAGTTTTTCATCCTTCATCAAACCTAATACTTTTTTATTTACTAAAGGAATATTAAATTGATTGTTTTCTTGATAGTCAGAAATATCAAATTTATTTATATCCTCTCTAATATGTTCATATATATTATCAACAAAAAAGTGATATATTAAGAAATCAATTATTATATTCCGATACAGAGGTTTAATGTAGTTGTAATGAAAATCATACACTATGGTTTTTGAAATGTCCAAAATACTGAATCCTACATAAATTGGTTTGTTAAATTTAATATTTGTCCTTTTCATTTCTATAATAACCATACTGAAAATGTAAAATCCTACATAAATTGGTTTATTTTTTGTGATACCTACTTGTTATTTGTAATTCTGATCAATGCTTATCCCGTAGAACTGATGGATAATCGATGAGAAACTTTAAAACACAATCAAACAGAATTCATCTATGATTATCAGTTTCAAAAATTATTGCTAGTATTGCCAACCTTTAACCTACCTTTTTGATTTGTCACTGTTGTTCTAAAAAAAATACCGACTTTATTATAATTTTTTTGTACCAGTTTTTTTTAGCGCAATGGTACATGTACAGGGTGAACAAATAAGAATGGCACTCGGCCATAACTCGATAACTGTTAATAATTTTGATAATTGATAATCGGAAGAACAAAATTTATTGGGTAAAACGGCCAAGGGAAACTGTTGGAAATATATTTAAGTACGTAGGTACGTAGGATGAGATAAAAATATAAATTTTAAATAAAATATAATTTTCTCATAAAATCAAATCTAAAATATATCAATAAGTATTACTTATTGATATATTATTCTTTGATATTTTCTGAATAAAAAATGCTTCAGAAGAAATATTTGTTAGACCTTAACTAAAGTGGTGGGGAAGCTTGAAGTTTATTTTCGAAAAACTCTCATGACTTCGTTATGGCTGATCCGATTTCAAATAATTTGGCCTCATTTGAAAGGGCATGAGTTGCTCTACAAAAGGGTTACTTTGCTTTGTATTTTTAAAATTTTCTTTTAACGTTAGATGGCGTTAACTAAGATACTAACATATATTCGCGTTTTTCTTAAAAAAATCTATTTCAGCAGTTTAGAAGAGGGTCAATTTCCCTATAATTTAAGACAAAAATAAATCTCGTATTATGTTCAGTGGCGGATTTTAATTATTTTAACTAACATTACTAACAAAAATTAGGAGCGTCACTGACTTTTTCCTGATATTGATTTTTTGAACTAAGCAAACAAAAATAAAAACTTTTTTTATCTTCCAATTTTGTCGTATTTTTCTTCGTTTCCAAGAAAACAAAAAATTGCTAGGCGGTCTATGAAGGACCATAAAAGTTGTTTTTATTTTTTTCTCGATAACGAAGAAAAATACGACACAATTGGAAGATAAAAAAAGTATTTATTTTTGTAGAATTTTTGTAGAATTTCACGTAGATTTCGAATATCAAAAAAATGGGGGTTTCCATTTAAAATTATAAAGACCGGAAGTGGTTTCAACAAAACAAATATGTCAAAAAATGGGGTTTTATGCACCCCTAACTATATTAAAAAATCAAATCAACATGTCTTAAGCTGTAGAAAAAAGTGTGTGGGGTGGTGGACAACATCTTGTGTCACCCGGTACGTGTTCTAATAGTCAAATCAACACAGGTGTAGTACAATGTTATGTCATCCTGTTGATGCCATCCCTGCCATCAGCACAAGTCCCATAAGAATATTATTCTTTGTATGACCTTCATTTTTAAACAGAATAGATGACCTAACATTGCAAGGAAGTTAACTCGGAAGTTAAGATTACTACACTAAAGACTGACGTCACACCTATTACCTATATCATTATGTAAGTACCGTTCATCATAATGTAGTACGAGTATGTATATCATTGAACAAAAACGATTTTTAAAATCTACCAACTGTATTCCAATATACCTACGTACCTAGTTATTTAACTTTTATTTTTTCTATCATTTAACTTTTAAAATAGACACTAAAAATGGTCTTGATGCATATTAATTTCAGCAGTTTAATTAGGTAGAAAAAACTCTAGGTTAGGTGTATTGTATGCAATGTTGTTAGTTGTGATAGTGTGATCATAGCTCGGATCATAGTTTCGTGGCGTAGTTTCACTAGGTATTCTAGATAATGATAAGAATTAGGTAATTACAATCGTGATTGTTATGGCGATTAGGTGATCCCGCCAAAATGCGGGCCATGTCATGCCGGTTGTTTCTTAGAAATGCTTCAAAGGTACTTTTACTTACTTACTTAAAAAAAGAAAACCTGTTTTTTGATCATTAAAGGTCGATTTATAAACTGAAAACGTTGCGGTTCGACGCCCGACGTTACGGTCGGTAAAAAGTTTGTTTATACGCAGGATGTTTTGTTGATTATAAATTTTTCGGTTGTTGTTGCGGTTGACGTTTTACGTCAAAAATTAACCAATTTTTAACTTCGACAAGAACGTTGACCTTGAAACGTTATTAGTAATAGCAAATAGCCAGTAGAAATAATCGCAACCGCAACGTCGAACCGCACCGTTTTCAGTTTATAAATCGACCTTACACTAAATATAATAAGCCAAATCAAACAGGTGGATACTGTTTAAACAGTGTAAGTATGCATAATGTAGTGGAATGTATGGAAGACGCCCATAGGTAGGTAGGTATGCTGGTAAATTAAACAATTAGGTACTTACCTCTGAATACGTCTCTTAAATTAGGGAATCCCCAGTCTTCCAGTAGAGCATCCATATTACACAACAGGTAACGGTCACGGACGTCCCGGAACACGTAAGGAGACACCAAACAAACGACGACGACGGACGATGGGCGATGGGCGATACACGGGCGACCTGCGAAACTACGCACTTCGAAACAAAAGCGATGATGGCTTCCGTCTCGCAAGGTTGCCAAATCGTCATTATGAAAAATTATTTATAATTGTTTTTTATGACTATATATCATTTGGTGCGCAAAATAAAGTAAGAATTTTATGTTTCACCATCTCACTAGTGCTAATATAACTGTCCCCCTGGAAATAAACTATTTTTCACAATTTTATATCTAGATAATTATTGAAAAACAACAACTACGCATTATTTGAAAAATCCATGAAGTGTTGTATAGCATTTTGTAAACATAATATAAAAATAATCAGATGAAATGCATTTAATTGGGTGCAGGGTTTACAGTCTGGCAATGACACATCTACAAAAAATAAAGCAAATATTGACAAAATTTGTGAGTTTCAATACTTGTTTTTGTGGTGTTGCATTTGACTACTCTAAAACAAATATTTTATGTTACTGTAAATCATGAGTTTACAGTTCTGTTTCACAAAATTGAAGGACGGGTACCAAACAGACAATAAAATGTAGTCCTACAATTGTAAGAAAAGCTTCAATAATTTGTAGGACAGTTAGAGCTTACAAAATTGTAAGTTAATTCTAGCCGTGATTTTTCTGCGTGTATCTTCATCCGAGGGATATTGAAGTTCTACTTCTCCTGGAATATCTCTGGGAAAGTTGACAGCTATCTCATTATCATCGAAGTCTTCTTCATCTGCGTATCAACCTCAGGTGGAATAATAACTATTTTTTCTTCGTGCTTTGACGAACATGCTTCCTCCACGGGTTCTCCCAATGTTTTGAAACGTTTGCCATAGAAACATTTGGAAGTGATTGGCTCGAAATCAAAATCCATATCAAGAACACACCTGTAAAAATATTTCGAATAATTTATACATATCTTCCCATTGTTCTCAAATGAGTACACTTAAAGTTTTCTAACATTTTTTTTCAGAATTTTCATAAAATTATTTATTATTATAACAAAAACAGTAACAATACATACCTGACAAACTAATTCAGCACCCCAAATAAAATAATTCAACCTTCACTATGAAAACAACTGACATGCAAATCTCCGAATTTGGCAGAATTTCCGCTAAGTGGGTTATCTATGAGAAATCCTTGAAAGTGTGTACTCCCTCTATATTGCAGATTACTTCCAATTTATTAAATTGTAGTTTTATTTCGACAGATGGCGCTGGGAAGCAACATTTTACGATGTACCCAAATGAGTACAGTGGGAGGTAATGGGTTAAGGGTATGCTCAAAGGCGTACTTACATGAACATCTTCAACGTCTTCGCTGTCTTCTACCGATTAACTAGCTACTTATTAACTGACTGTAACTGACCATTGGACTGACTACCCGCAACTAACTACGCAACTAACTGACCATTGGACTAACTAACCGATCTGACTGCCACTCCGCTCTCTTCAGCATACTCTTTTTATATTTCCTATCCCTCGTGGTCATCGCTGGTTACGTCGTTCAATATTTTCCATCTAATTACATTCACCCGGCTATGAGGAAATCGAATTTTGGTAACCTGCGTTTGATTATCGACCCGAGATTGTTGTACTTTAATCGTTTAATTTTTTAATATTATTTAAAAACATATCTGGGTCGATGTCGTGCAGGTAACTGATTTCTTGGGCCTACATCAAATTGGTTTACTAGAATTATATTTTACGTGCTTTTCCCAATTTGATATAAACCCAAGTTGACATTTATTTAAGTCTTGACAATATGATTATTTTCTACTAAATTCAGTGTTTGGGATGGTATTCTTTCTTCGACATAAATAAAATGTTTGGAGTGAATAAAAATCCAAATAACTCAGTTCATTGACATGGTAGGGTTCTTTCTTCTTTTTTTGCCGTACGTATGATTTGTGTATACTGACTAGGGACGTAGATAGGTCCAGATTTCAAACTTTCCTTTACAGCCTTCTCCACAGTTGAATGGACAGAATCTCCTTCGTTTTGACTCTGTTGACTTATTAGATATAAATAAATTTTAGGGTACTTAGCTAAAGCATAAATATACATAACAACAGAATTTTTTT